CCGGCGCCAGCGAGAAGAGCGAGCCGGAAGTGCAGTGGTAAGCCCGGGAGGTGCGCTGTTCAGGAAGCGCTCCTGAAAGAACCATCAGCTTCAGTGTCTCTTCGGCAGGAAAGGAAGCAGCTGCCTTTAGGACGGGACTCGGCGCCAGGGCTGCACCCCCCACCCACCCCACCCCCGCGCAGTTTGGGGCACTGGGTGTTTGGCCCCTTGGTAACCGGAAGTGATTAATGTTAATGCACCGTCCTCCCCTTCACCCAAGAGATTGCCAGAGGCAAAGCAAGTTAGTGCACGTCCCTCAGATATGCGGGGATGAAAATGTCAGCTGGGGAGCAGTTAGAAAAGTAAGACTAGCTGTTTTCAAAGTATTTCTCCAGTAGAGAGAAAGTTCACCATCATAGGACAAAGGACAATCCTAAATGGCAGTAGCTTCTTTGAAGTGAGGATGCTGTGGTCTTATTTTAAAGGACCGCGTCCACCTCCGTGGAGCAAGTGAGAGAAAGGAGCTACCAGAGAGCTTTGCTGCTCAGCGATCACAGGAAAGACAAGGACAGCGGTAAGTGAGGCCTTGCCTGCCCCAGCAAGGGGCCGCGCCGGCTCTGCGCGCGCTCCTGCTGAGCGCTAACGTTCTCTTGGGTCTGCTCTGCTTCACCTCCAGGGGGAGAATCACCATGTGTCTCATGTTCCCCGAGCCATGTTCAGTCCTCACCTTCATCTCATTCAAATCACATTCCCCAGTTGCAAGCTAAGGGCCTAGGCCCTCTCAGTGAACTCGTGGAAGGTCAGTAAGTGGATGGCCTGTCGTGGCTTTGACTGTCTTATAAAGAGCATGCACACTGCTTTGTCGTGTGGATAAGAGGCAGCATTTACCTTGGACTTTTACATTTACTGTAGGTTTCTTCTGCTTTCCAGACCCCGATCCTGAAAATCCAGAACCCACAACGACAAATGAGTGTCCATCCCCAGATATTTCTCAAAACACCTGTAAAAGCCCTTCAAAGACGAACAAGGTAATGATACGGACTTGACTGTGGCCACTGAACCCTGATGGTAACGCGCAGAGGGGTGTTCTGCTGATGAAGGGGCGCTCTGGGATTTCTGGACACTTTCTGCCAAATGTACTACTCGGTTGTGCTATCTTACTGGTTCTCCCGCATTAGACCGTGAGACAATACAAGGATTCCAGTTCTCCACGCACACGGCAGTAGCGCATGCTTTATCCGAAAGGTCCACCCTGTTCTAACGGTGCCCAGGAAACCCACAACTTTTCACGAGTTACTTAGCCAGCCCGTGCTTTATAAACCAAAGGTGAAGAGACATCCATTTAGAGAGGGTCACTGGCCCTCCTGGCTCAAGGCCCTGTGATATTTGAGGGTGGCTTTTCGTTTAACAACGAGATCACACACGTTTCAGTCCTATGTGAGTAGTTGACAAGAAAAGCTTGAGGGGCAAAAGTTTATTTACCCAAACCAATTTACTCTTAAGCTGGATAGAGAAATTTCACTTGCGGAATGGAAACCTGGTAACTGTTTCGCGGTTAATACAGTTCCTTCAGTGGGTAAGGCTCAGAAATGTCCCTGACCATGATGTCCTCCATCTGTCGAGCTACCACAGCTCGGCTACCCTACCCAGAAAGCCTCCGGCCTCCGCGGCCGCCCGGTACGTGAGCGCGACTCCCGGCCATCTGGCCGTCGGCGCGCAGTCACCGCTTTCTCTCTCTTGCAG